ATGGAAATGATCATCAATGATGATGATGCATAAAATTTTTAAAAGTAAATTTTTCATCCAAAACAAAAAAAAAAAAAAATAATAAAAATACAAAACATTCATCTAATTGTCAAGTTGTCGAAATAAGTAAGTAAGTAAGTAAGTAACTCTTTTATCTTTTTCATTCATTCATTCATTCTATCTGTTTGACAATTGATCATTTTCAAAGAATTGAACGATTAACGTGTTTGTGTGTAATGTGGATCACGCAATTTGTTTGAAATAAAAAAAAAGAACATAAAAATTTTGTTTCAAAATGTCTTCGTCGTTTTTTTTAGTTTTCAAAAAACTATTTTAAATTGTATAGCAGTAGTTTTGGTTACCAAACCAATTAAATTCTCAATCATACCCCCCATACACACAATGTGTTAACTCCATTCTGCTGTAACATTGTGGAATAAAATGTTCATTTTTCTTTTTTTGCATTCTATCATCATCGACAACAGCAAAAAATAACCATTTTTCTTCCATGTTTTCTTCCAATATATATTCTCCACCTTAGAATTTTTGTTCGTCTTTCATCGAATTTTCTTTTTTTTCGGTTCATTTATTCATCTATAAAGGTTGGGGCTGAATGTTGTTGTCAATTTTTTTTGTGTGTGTATATAATAAAATGGATAATTACGGATACGGTTGCCTTTATCTAATTTGATCAAATGAATGAATGAAATATATATTGTGCCAACAATTGTCGTTTGATAATCATTTTTATTCATTCATTCCATTCCATTCAAATTGTGAAGAAACAACACAAGAATATAAAACAAATGGCATATAATACAGTTGAGACAAACAACGATATTCAGAAACTCGACTTTTTTCTTTCATGTTTTTGTTTCCGAAAAAATTCTATATATGTACACGCTTTAATGGAACAAATTTCAAGTGAAATAATGACGAGTAGATAACGAATATGGATAAAATTACCGATTTTAGTTTCGGCTTTTTTTTTCTCCGATTCCCGTGAATCTGATACATAAATGTAATAGTAATATGATTATTAAATGAAATAAGATTTTGTTTTTTGTCTTAATTCATTGATTTTTTTTTGCATAAAATCCGTTGATTAACATCATCATTTTATTCAATTACAGATTTAATTTTTTTTTATTAAAATAAAAATAAAAGATTATCGATTTTTTTTTCGTTTATTAAGCAAAATTTTGGTGAAAAAAGCAAAATATAAGTGAATATTTTTTTTTTGTTTGGAGAGGAAAAAATCTTATCAAACTAAGTGAATTCTAAATTTAAAATTTTATCTTTTTTTTTTTTGGAGAAGGGTAAAAAATGAATTGATTGTTTCTTCGAAATCATCATCGACGACGACCATCCTTTTTTTCATCTTGTTTGTTAACAATATCAACTGGTTGTGTAATTTGTTGGAAAAATTTTGATATAGAATTTGTCAATGAATTAATCGATGATGATGATGGTAACGGTTGTTGTTGTTGTTGATCTGGTGTTGCAATCGAATATTCATTATTTGATTGTTGTTGTGTAAATAATTCACTTAATTTGGATGATGCATCGCTACCAACATTTTGTGCTTGATTACCAAAATTTTTCATAAAATTACCTATTGAACTCATTGCACCATTAAAATTTTTACTGATTGTTTCAGATAGATTTGTTGGATTAAGTGTTTCACTAATTGAATTCCATGCATTACTAACAGTATCAGTGATACATGTTTTTGAATCAAAATTTTCACATAATTTTTTTACAGCTTGCATTGCTATATTTGATTCTAATCCATTCAATTTTTCTTCATAATGTGATTCTTGACAAATTCTTGTTGATCTTGCAACCGTTATATAAGCCTTTACACCTTGAACGCATAAATCATAACGTGCATTTTTACTGTAAACAAATGCAAAAAAAAATGTTAGCAAATTTTTTTGTATGGATGAAAATAAAATACTTACCAACAAGCAACTTTTGGATCCAAACTATCCAATGAAATAAGAGTTGTTCGAATAGCTTTACAGCTATCGATCATTGAATCCAATACTCGATCACAAGTTTCATTTTGTCCATAAACAACTACGTAAAAAAGAAATTATGACAATAAAATAAAATGAAATTCGCTAATTTACATACCTGTGCTTAATAACATTAAGCAAAATGAAATTTTAATAATCATCTTCGTAGTTTGTAATGATGAAAATTTTTTTTCACAAATTCAATAATGGCTGTGCTCAACAAATGTCCAAAAGTCTTGTGATTTTTATTTTGAGTTTGCAAAAAATAAAACGAACAATACATATGAATCACTTGAAATGTTTATCATTATTTTATATTGGGAAAATTTGTTTTTCAATGATAAACGATGGTAGTGGTGATGATAGCACAATCATATTTGATGATAATAATTAAAAAAAACTTTTGAACCTTGAATTATATTCATTATATCAAAATTAATCATCATTTTATAAACATTGAATAAGCAAATTTAAAATTGATATCGATTTTTTTCTTCTTTTTTTTGGTTCTTCATATTCGCAATTTATCTTATAAATATCGATCAAAATCATTTCCAATGTCCATTTCCTGATGCAATAATATCAACAACAAAAAAGAAAGAAAAGAATAACCGCGTCAAATTTTCGAGTGACTTTTCTGGCGCCATCTATATCATCATAATAACAATTTCAATTTCATATCCGTAATTCACATCATTTTATTAGAAAAAAAAATTATACAAATTTCAAAAAAAAATATCAAATATTATTAAGTGAGAAGAACAAAGGAAGCCTGAAAATTATTTAAATTTGTTTATTTTAGTTTCAATTTCCCGAACCAGTGAAATTATCATATTTTTTTTAAAAAAAGCTGAGATATAAATATATGAGAATATTGTTATCAATCTAAATGATGATTATTATTATTATTATTATATTTTAAAAATCCTAAAGATGAATGAAGACAATGATGTTATCCCGTTCATATGTGATGGAGATTGGCAATGTAAGATTTTTGAATACCCAGATTTAAAAATGACGAAAAAGTTTCATTTAATTTATTAATTGAATCGTTCTCTGACTAGACACATCAATTTTTTCTTTCCTTTATAAAGTGTTTTAATTTTTTCAAGTAGTTTGACAAATTCATTTTTACCATCCGGTGCCAATATTATTGTTTCTTGTGCTCTTGTTAAAAATTCAATAAAATCACCATAATGCCGTGGACTGATATGTTCTAATCGTCGCATTACAGCTTCGATATAGGCTTTTACAGCTGCATAAAGTAGATTGCATAATGGTGGCCGATCCAATGGATATGTTTGAAATTGTCGTCGTCGCATTCGTTCTTCTATACTTAGATGTTCCATGACAATATTTGATGAATCAGAAACATAGCTTAAATTTATATTATTAGAACGAATATTATTTTGGCCTATCATTACAGGTTTTGGCAGAACCGGATGAGGTAGTGTACAACGACGAATCATATCAGCTAAAACCGGTGCACATCGTACATTTTTTATCAAAATATCTACAAGTTTATTAAGTTCTTCAGTGCCAAGACATTGTGCCAAACTACAGGCCCATTGGAGATCATTGATTGAATGATGCGAATCAGCTGTCAGTGGTATGGTTACTTGATTGGCAGCTAATAATGCAATCTTACAAGCACGTTCGGAAGCACCTTGATGTTCAAGATATCGTGCGATCGAAAACAATTTATGCGATCCAATCTGATTTAATGAGGCAGCCGTTTCGACTACTTTGGCAATCGTATCGAATGCATATTGATCTTTTTCGCATAATGATAATGCATTTAATGCACAACTAGATGGATCGCGCATCGCACATTCGACTGCTAATTTTCGTGCTGTACTTGCTAGTTCTTCTGAACGCATTATATGATCACGAACACATAGACGGGAATTGAAATTTTGTGCCAATACTGCCGATGCTACCTGACGAACTGCTTCGGATGGACTGAAATATTCTTTCCAATTTCTCATTAGATAAACAATTTTATCATAACCAATTTCGGTAGCGCAAGTTACTAACCAGTGAATAGTATTCTTACGACAACTATCATTTGTTTGATCATTCAGTGTTATTTTGGCAAGATGAAGTCCGAATTGATAAGCGATACGTAGAAGATATTCTTGACGATTACCATTCGAACTAAAATTAAATATATCTTGAGCCAACTTGTTTAAATAATGTGGATCAATGACATATGTTTTGATAGTTTCAAATATAAGAAGTAATTGTGCGTAATCATTACGAGCAGCGAATAACATTGTACGGGCCAAAAGTGATTGTACATCCAAATACATATCGAAAAAATTTGATCGTACTGGCAGTTGATCAGCTTCCGAGGACGATTGATGTTCATCTTTGAATGCGAAAAATCTAGATATAAAAAGTTTTGTGAATGAAATTTCTGCTCATTTTTTCTGCAACATAATATTTCTACGACATACCTTAGAGATCGAAGACCAATATCATAAGATAAATCGGGATGGGTAGGTAGAAGAGCACCAAACATGTAGCGCACAAGACCGGGTATTTGAACAATGTCCGATGGCACAAACAGTTGTCTATGTTCACCAGTTACCATATCACTAAGAATACCGTATTCGATTAAATAACGTGCCTTTTTCTGTACGGTAGATATTAGAAATGAATCCAATTTTATATCTAATAATTTTCGTATTAATCGTTCTTCTTGACGATAACTACGGTCACGTTGACTTTCAAGATCGGGTGATCGACGAATTTGAGATAATCCAACCAATGCAATGTATACGGCTGCATTCAGATATGTATCCCAATATTGTGTTGAACCGGGAACTTTGACATGATTGAATTTGAGTTTTTCATTGTTGGAGTCATTATTATCATTAACATTGGATGCCATATTTCCATCTTTATCGACTAACCCATTCACTTCATTATACATAACAAACACATCGACCAGAACGTTTCGGCTAAATATACCCATATCGATTTTTTTATCATAGCCAATCAAAGCATAATGAGCATCGTATGATCTCGAATCACTAGTAACCGAAGCTTCGGCTAATGTATCAAAGAGAATTCCGATCGGATCCAATGGATTACCGATCCATGAATCGGATGATTGAACAACATGAATAAGACCTATATTTTCTTGTTCTTGAATATGCTGTCGATGACGGAACAAACGAACAATGGCCATTGAAAGACGAAGTGCTTCTTGTAAACGACCATTCACTCTTAATGAGGCAACTCGTACACAAGCCGTAGGCAAATGTTCTAATTAAAATTAAATAATTATAAGCTTCATCTTCGAAAAAAATAATTATGTTCATACCTGACCAAATAGGGAAACCATCTTTGTCGAAATCTTCTGAATAATAAAATTGACGAGATTTTCCATCAACGGGCCCATCTTGACGGAGAATCAATTGTAGATGCTCATCATCCCAAGTGATGTAAGAAGCATCCAATGCTCTCTCTAAAATTCGACGTTTTCGAAATGGAACATTGTGACCATTCCTGGAAGCATTGACAATCAATCTTCTTTCATGTTTACTACAATGAGCCATAGGTTCATTATCTGATGAAGATGAACAACGATGTGGTGTATCATGTGTGGTTTGTACATTCAGATTGAAATATGTATCTTCACGGGGACAATTTGAGATATGAGACCAATGGCGAAACATTTCACGCCATTCTACACGTTTTAATGGAGGTAGCGATGGATCGGCCACAATAAAAGTCCAAAGATTGGTCAAATGATCCCATAGGAAAATAAATGGATCAAAATACATTTGATCAAATGCATCTTCCGGTTTAAGATAATGAGAATAAGAATAAAGGAATTGTTCGGTTATGATACGCAAGAATCGTGATCCATTCGAATCTTTAATCTTGAGCATTTCAATGACCTGTTTTTCGAATTGAAAGAAAATTAAATACAACCGTTTAATAGAATCATCAAATTTTTACCTTATAGAAAAGAAGAATGATTTTATTCGATTCCGATATGCTAACATATTTGACCAGATCTCTAATTTGTGAAGCTGTTCTTTCCTCATTCAGATACCAATCGTGTGGTCCATAGACACAAGCACCGGCTGTAGGATCAGGTGCACCATGTATTAAATTGATTGGTGCTTGTTTTTGACTTAATTCATCGGTAAGTCTTTGTACTGTTGGTAATATTTGCACATGATGTTCGGCTATTAAATATTGCACCAATTTTTGTAATTGCTGTCGATCCAGATCGAGTAAAGTTTCTAATGATAATAATAATTATTATTATTTATATTATTGGGGATTAGCTGATTTAGCTTACCGGAAATTGGAATACGGAGATCAAATGAAAATGGTTTATGTATTCTATACAATGCCAGTGCGACTACATGTTCGCACCAGAATAAATGAACAACACGTGGTGTACATGTACAAGTTGCTGATGTTATCTTACATCTATAGATGAAGAATAGCATGAAAATCATTAATTAATCAAAATAATAATAATAATAATTACCTATCGAATGTAATTGATACTAAACAACCGTTAAAATTTGCCTTTCGATATGTAGAACTTGAATCCAATATATTATGATTATTATATGGATAGTTTCCAATTCGATCACCTTGAAATAGTTTCGAAAAATTTGCCTCTGAAGATGATGATGATGATTGAATGGCCGATGAAGATAAATATGGTGAAATCGTTGAATGAAATGAACCGGATGATTGTGCGGATGAATGTGATTGTTTATTATTTTGAAGATCGATTACTATACCGGTTAGATTGAAACCTGTGGTCCAAAAAAAAAGTTTTTTTCAATGAACAAAAATAAAGTTTTTTTTTTAAATTGAAATTCTAAAATTATCTTTTTATTTATATTTGAGATAATAACAAAATCTATTGCAGCAAACAAACAAAATATTTTTCATCTATGATGAACAATAAATAACAAAATTGAAATCTCAAGTATGGATTATGATGAATGAATTTATTTAAAGAATACCATCCATTCATTCATTTGATTTCCCACTACTGTTTAATTCAAATAACTTTTTTTATGATTGTATTTCGAATAATAAAAAAAATGTTTGTTTTTTCTATTTGTTTGAATTTTTTTTCAAATAAAAATACAATAAAATGCAATCTTTTAGTTTTTTTTCAATTTAAAAGAACCAACTTGATTGACTAATAATAATCAAATATGATTATCATGAATTTTGAGAAAGAATTTTTTGCATTTTTTTCCTTATAAAAATCAAATGTTACCTTGTGTTTTTCTAAAGAATTACTATGCAAAATTATCATTGAAAATGAAAAGGATCAGAAAATAAAGATGATCGATATTCTATCCTTAATATACACAGACACACACAAATAAGCTTAGTCCACTACCCATAGAAATATATGAACATTTTAAGTCGTGACATTCACATCAAAAATCCTAACCCACTTGTGATCAATAATCAAATACAACATTAAGATTGAATGAAATAACTTTTCAAAGCAAAAAAAAATGACAAGGCATATTGTGATTATAATGAAAGTTTTCATGACTATCATCAAGCTTCATCTGGCTCGAAGGTCAAGTTCTTTTTCCTTCTCTCTCTCTTTATCACTAGATATCCATCAATTCTATAGATAATTCATCTAATCAATTCATTCAAGAAAAAGAAATTCTATCCAATTTTTATTGACCAACCGTTGAACACCTGAATGAATGAGTGTATATGTCACCGACCTTTTATTTCTGGACCAAACCTGAAAATTTTTCCTGACTATTTAGTTATGATAAATTATTATCAATTGAATGGTGATCCATAATATTTTCAGCAAACAAATTCATAAAAAAAACTGTGTAAATATTTTATGGAACAAAAGAAACACTACCAGACTACCTATCAATGGTATTTGTTCTTCTGGAAAAAATTATTCACAATTTACCATGACTATCGAGAACACATGTGTGTTGAGGGAATGGTAGCAACAAAAAAAAAAAATTGATTGACGGCCAATGTCTGCCCAGTTTTGTGCTCTTTTTTTTCGAAAATGTCGGTGACCTAGGCCAAAAAAAATTGCACGTTCCCGCAAGCAACTAAGTGTAATAATAATTTCCAGAAAAAGAACGCTTCAGGTGATTTTCTCGTACTTTTCCTTTTTTTTCTTGGTTTGCAGGTCGTTTTGGTTGGTCGGTTGATCGGCCGATCTTTCACAATATGAATTAGTCGTTAGTTTAGTTTAGTGGCAATTTTCTACAGTGGCAACAACAACAAAAAAAATTCCATTCAAACAAACATAAATTTTGAATGGAAATTATTTGCAACAGCCGTTGTTGTTGTCGTTATTGTACGCTGCGCTCTAATGAACAATGGCTATATCATTTGAGTAGATAGATGGTGTATTTAACTCTATGCAACGATTTTCGACAAAAAAAATGGACTTAAATTAAATGACACTAATACACCATAGTATAGAAAAAAGATAATTTTTTTCAAACAAATTTTCTCAAAAAAATTGCTTACCAATTTGCATAACTTGGCGAACAGTTCCCGAACAAAGTAAATGTAATCCTTTATTAAATGTTGATCTAGATTCCCATTCATGATCATGATGGCTAGCTGTTGTTGTAGTTGTTGTTGTTGCTGTTGTCATCGGATTTCCTACCAAATCCCATAATAATGATGGGGATGATGGAATATTCATCGACAAATTTGATGATGATGATGTGCCTACAGCAGCAGCAGTAGTTGTACCATTAGTATAATTTGCTAGATTAAAATCTTGTTTGAAAATTGATGATATTGATGAATAAAGACGAATATAACGTTCATCACGTGGAAATGACCAGAATATTATTCGTTTTTGTACAGGTTCAGGTATACAACTATATTGTTGTTCAATATATTCATATGGTATATATTCCGCTACAAAACGTGCAGCAATCTCTAATAATGATTCTGGTTCATATGAAGATTTTTGACCAACTAATGAATTTGGATTTATTAGATCTGTTCCGGTAGTAATTGTTGATGATGATGATGATGGAATGGCAGTTAAATCCGATGGTATTCTTGACGATCTTCCAACTGTCGAATGATGACTACTTGAATTTTGATTCCGCAGTCTGATTGTCCATTCTTTATTTGGCTGTTGCATTGGTGATGATGATTGATGTGATTGCGATGATGAGGATGATGATGGTATAGGTGCTTGAAATTGATGACAGCGGCAACAATAAATCTGTGAACATTGTCGTCTTGTTTGATATTGATTTGATAATTGGCCATGCGATGAATAGGCACCTGGATAATAAAGGCATCTTCCGTGAGCTATATTTGGAGGTATTAAACGATTTAAAAGCGATGTCGAAATTGATGATGATGATGATGATGTACGTGATTTGCGAAATTGATTCGATTGTTTTGAGCAATCTCGATTCGAATGCGAAATCGATGATAATGATGATGAGCTACTTGTTGATGGTTGATCATCATTTTTATTAATCGATGATGATGATGATAATACGGACTTTCGTTTTGATTCGAAATTTTCTTCATCATTATTATTGTTGTTTGTTTTTATCAAATAATGTTTACTGGAATTGGAAGAATTTGGTTTATTATCATTATTAGTATTGGAATCAAATTGATCAGCAGCAACAATAACATTATTATTATTATCATCTTCAATACATAAACGTTTTGATGATGATGATGAGGATGGATCATCTTTCGATGATGATGATGAAGAAGACGACATAATGATTACATCAATTTTCTTTTCTTTTTTTAAACCGTTGATCAATAATTCATTATCATTATGAAAAAAATTCGAATATTTAAGACAAATGCACACAGAGAAAAACAAAAACAAAAAATTATTTTTCGAAGACAATTATTGAAATGGAAGAATTTATTTCTTGCAATCAAGATGGAAGATTTTTTACTGAGAATCTTTATTCATTCATTTTGTTTTGTTTGCCTTTCTGGTTAACATGAATCATTCGAAGCAACAACGAATTTCAAAATCAAAAAAAAATAGAAGATAAATTTTCTTTTGTTTTCAATCAATAATCATTATTATTATTATGATATATAATCACATTGAAATATGATTTTACAATTACATTTGTTTGATTTTCGGTTTAGAATCAATTTTTTTTATTGCTACGCATTTTCTTCAACAAAAATTTCGGACAAAATCGATGTTATTATTATTATTATTACAGCCAATTGAAAACAGGCAGATGAGTATATTACAGAGGCGTAGATTATTATTATTATTGCTATAAAACTATGCAATTGAATTACATCAATCAAATCAAATCAAATCAAATGATTTATTATTCATTGATCACATGAAGATTTTTATCGAAAAAAATTATACCAATTGATTGATTTATAATTGAAAAAAATTCGATTCATTACAGAAACTTTGATGATTCCAAAACAAAACAAAACAAAAAAATTCACTGGAATCAATGATGATGATGTTAAAAAAAAAAATCAACCGCTACCAGAAAAAAAAACCAAAACAAAAAAATTGCATCTACAATTACATCAAGATTGGCAACATTATAAAAAAAAATTATTTTTGCAATCCACATAAATAAAAACACAGATTGAGTTAGTTGGTTATTTAAGTAAGTTTTTTTTTGGGATGAAAGAATGATGATGTTAGGAGGGAAAAAAACTCCCACCATCACACCATAATAAAAAAAAATTCGAATTCGAATGATGAGATCAGCAGATGAGCAGAGAGGCGGGGGTAGAAAAACAAAATTCGAATTCGAACGCGATTCTGGAAATCTTAAAAAAAAAATTTATGATTCAATCCGAAAACTTTCAAAAAATCGATAATCAATGATTTAAAATGATGAATTTTAGTCTATAAAGACACAAACACACACAAAGAAATTGATTATTATTGCTTGAAAATGATGATGTTGATGATGAATGAGAATTGATTTGTAAGAAGATTTAAAGAAAAAAATTTCATTTCGAATCAAGTTTTTTTCACTTTCTTTTTTGTTCAAATGTCAAAGTATATCAAGAGTATTATTGCATGATGTAAGAAGATTGTTTTCTTTGGAAAAAAATTGTCGTTTTTGACACCATATATATTATACAGTGAGAAGAAAAACAAAACAATTTGATGATAATCAGTCATCCATTCCGATACAACAAACAACGAAAAAAAACCACACAATTGTGAATCAATCAGCCAACATAACAACAACAACAAAACTGTCGATTCGATTGATCATTTCATAATAAAACCAATATTCAATTCCACATTTCCACAGACGATTTGAATTGAATCTCAGTGATCTCTCTGTGTGTATGTGTGTGTGTTTGTCACACATAGTCGATCAGTGCAATGGCACCAACAACAACAAAAAAAAAATCTTATCTATCGTTTTCTATTTCTCTCTCTCCCTCTCTGTGTGTGTATCTGTCTCATTGTAATTCTCGCCTGTTCACACACAAACATAAACACAGAGTTTCGGTATTATCTTCAAAAAAGAAAAAAAGAAAAAAAGAAAATTACAATTCATTCACTTTTTTTTATTCCTCATCCTCCTCCCATTTTGAAAAAAAAAGAAAAGTAAACTTTCTCCGCCAACAACAACAACAACAATAAAATCGTCTATTTTCTGTGTGTATAGCTATTAAAATGTACACAAGTGGAACACGATGAATATAAGACGATCCCCGATCGGAATTATCGTAGAGGAAAAAACAAACAAGATGATGATGATGATGAAGAGTATACACAAGAGGAGGAGGAAAAAGAAGAAGACGGGAAACCAGAAAACAAAAAAATTTACTTTCACTTTATGGTAGTAGCAATGAAAAATGATGATAACGATTTTTAAAAAAAATGATCCCTATCCATGTTTGTTAAAAAATCTCTTTTCGTTTTTTTTTTTTGGTTGATCTAAATATATTGTTTGGTATCGACCAAAAATGTTAGGCCAAGGTAATATTATGAAAACATTAATATGATAATATTCGATCCAAGAAAAAAATCGGTAGTAGCATAGAATATAACCAAGACACGTGACAAATTCTAAATTAAATGATAGTGGTTTTGATGAAAGTTGATTTTTTTTCAAAGAATTTATCTCCTCCTCCTCCTTCATATAGTAGTGGTAAGAATTAAAGAATAATTAATATGCGCATGTCAATCTTTCATTGATAATGATGATGACGACATTTAATCCAATTGAATTGTAATGGAACAGAAATCATTTTTATTCAATTTGATGAAAAAAAAAACTTTGAACAGACGATGTTTGTATATACAACAGTCAGTCAAACACACAACATGTCATTCATTCGATCATCATTGGATAATAATGGTTTCGACCGAACCAAAAAAAAAAAAAAAAAAAAAATTTTTTTTTTTTTTTTTTGGCCCAATTTTTCCGCCTCCCCCCTCCCCCCCCCCCCCCCCTATTT